CAGATTTTTTTTAACTTATTTTGGAATAAAGATTTACAGAAAGGAAAAATGGTATAGACAGGTCCCTGGTACCCCTCACCCAGTTTCTCCTGTGTGTGTGTGTGTGTGTGTGTGTTTAGCAAATAGGTTTTTTAATTTGTGAACTTCATAAATTGAATATTAACAAAATTAAATAAAAAGCAAACATCTGAATAATTTTTTCCTATGAGTATACAGATGCAGGAGTGTCTGTGTGTATGTGTATACACGTGCTCAGTCCCTTTCAGTCCACTGGAAAACTCCCACTAACAATAGCTCAGACTGGGACACACTGAGTTCGACCTGTGCTGGGGACATCCGGCTAGAGCGCCCCAGTAAATGCTAGAACATACGGATTGAGTGTGTGCTGTGCTCTGTCCATGGTGTCGCCAGCCTGCCTGCCCCCACTCACTGGCTCTGAGACCTTGGGCAAGTCTCTTAACCTCTGTACCACAGCTCTCTCACTGCTGACTATGGGTCATGACAGCTGTCCCTGCCACGCTGCGTTGCTGGTGGATTCGGTGAGCTGATGATGTGCCGTGAGCTCCTGGATTGTGTTTGGAACCCAGTGTGTACTCAGCACGCGTGGGCTATTGTTGGACAGGTCATAGTTCAGGCATGTATTTGGGGAGCATATGGCAACGGGATCGCGTCTAGAATGAGGAAGTAAGAGAGAAGTGCACCGAACCCCTAAGAACACCAGCATTTATGGCATAGCAAAAGGAGAGGGACCTGGGGGGGAAAAACAAGCAGAAAACCAGAAGGGGCAGCCTTAGATGAGGGAAGAAAATTGATACAAAGCTATGATCACTAGGGTTGGGGACAGGCATATAGCTGAAGGTCCAGAAGCTGTCCCACATCGGGAAACTGGAGCTGTAACAGGTGCGACACTGTAGACTGATGTGCAAAGAGGGCTACTGCCAGTGGTTTCACGTAGAAATAGATGAACCGGATTCCAACCTGCCACAGCACAGCGATTCGCCGTGAATTAAGCACTTCAATGTGAAAGCAAAACTTTAACGCTTGTGGAAAAACACGTTGGAAAATATTTTATGACATTAGGATCCTGAGAGGTTTCTATAAAAAGACGCTCCCATGACCAGCTTTAAGAAATGATCGGTGAAGTTTGGTTCCATTCTGTTCATGAGAAGACATCCTAAAGAAAAAGAAAAGACCACCCCAGGCCAAAAGGTTTTGTAACACTTAAAAGAAGTTGTTATCTAGAATATGTTATCTAGACTACACTAACAAGAATACAACAACACTCAACCCCATGATAACCAGAGAAAGGAACATTAAGATCTCACACTGATATCCAGAGAGAAGAGCATTCTAGCCAGAAGTGCAAAGGCCCTGAGGCAGAAACCTGGTTGGCTTGTCAAGAAGTAGTAAGAAGGCCAGTGTGCTGCATCCACTCTGTCTATAAGCCAGGCAAAGGCAGATCAGGGTCCAGATCCTTAATTTTCATGTCCTGTGATTTAATTTTGACTTAAGAGGCCAACGAGATGATTCATGAGAAAATAATTTGAAAAATTGATCATAAAGGGGACAGTACTGACTAGAGCGATCAAACTAATTTTGAGAAAGAGGGACAAAGTATAAGATGAGCTAAGTCTCAGATGTTTTAGACAATTCAAGATTTAGTTTAATTAATTGAGGCCACATTAAGCATCTGCTCAGTGCCAGGCCCTCTGTTAGGAACTGAGGATTCAAAGAGAAGAAGGGAATCTCCAGCCAGAGAAGGAGCTTCATGCCTTAGCAACTAATAAAGAGAAACGATAAACAATATAACACGTGATGTTCATAATAAACATAATGTTTACTTGTTGACTTACCATGCTCCAGACATGAGCCTTAAACACATTTTTCCTAATCTCTACAGTAATCCTACACGGTTGATATGGTCTGTTCCCAATTTGCAGATGAGAACATAAAATACAAAAGAAATTAAGCAATTTGTTGAGAGCAGGGTTTCTCATCCATGGTGGCAATCGTGGCTGGGTAATTCTTTGTGGGGAGGATATTTAGTTAGCTTCCCTGGCCTCCACCTACTGGATGCAGATTGTCCCCCTCACCCCACAGTTATGACAGTCCTAATGTCTCCAGACAAATATCTCCTGGGTGACAAAATTGCCCTGGTGGGGAAATACTAGTTCAGAGACAGTGTAAGTAGTGAGGTGGGAATTTGAACCAAATCTGTTGGACTTCAAAGTCCATAGTTGTTGGTTGTTTTGCTTGTTTGTTTGGACTTCTTTCTTTAGCGTCGAACACCTCTACAAACAAGTGTACCTTGAGTGCTCCATTGATTGCCATTGAAGGCAATGCCGTGAGATGTATTTGCCTACAAATGGCTCGCACCCGAGAAGGTACAGCAATGGCAATGCAGACGTTATTTTAGGTTTCCGCCATTCGTTCAACGTCTCAGGGCACATGTAGTATCAGATAGCCTGCAGGCACTGTTTTTTGCTTTAATTTCACTGTATTCATTCATTCATTCATTCATTCATTCATTCATTCAATCATTCATCAGTGCCAGCATTGTCCCAGGCACTGGGGCTCATAGTGGACAAGTCAGAAAGGTTCCTACTCACGCCCAGTTTCGTAGAAGGTGGGGAACAGACAGGAGGCATGCCAACCTATCATTAGACAAGAGATCTAAATTTGTCATTTAGTATTTTGCACAAAATAACAGAGTTTTATGAAGGCAAGTGATTTGGTTAGAAGAAGCATGCTAATTGGGATTCAGAGGTCATGAAGGGCTTCTCAGAGGAGGTGACACAAGCTGATACATATTAACAAGGAGTCAGTCATGCGAAAATCTGAGGCAGGAGTTTACAAAGAAAGGAACAAGCAAATGCTAAGACACTGAGGTGGGAGTGAGTTTGGTGTTTCTCGGGAACAGGAGGAAGTTCTTTGTGGATGGGAAGGAGGTGTGCAGGGGCAAGGAGTAGCTGATGTCAAGGGGGTGGATGAGGACCCAGGGGCAGGTGTGACCTTGTAGGACAAGGAGGAATGGGGCTTTCATTCTATGTGCAAACGGAACATGATCTTGCTAAAGTCACTTCATAAGGAAGGACAGATGCAACCCTTTGAGCTAAAATACTAAACCAGAGTCCTTGCATGTTCCTGCCTCTATCATTCATGGTTATATGTTTGCAGTTATTTAAATAGACTGATGTAAGAGTTACAATTTGAAGCTTAACAGGGGAAATCAAAGAAATATTTAAAATATATTAGTTTCGTTTTCACTCTCCCTGCAGAGTTTCTGCAAAACAGACTCTTTATTGCGCTTGCTCCTTAGAAGGTCTATTGAGTATTTGATTTCATAAAAAGAGCCCACAAGCAGCTATTGTTTTCAAGAATTTTGATATTGAGCGTCAATGACTGTCAGCGATTTTGGATTTTTTTTTAAAAAAGATATTCTTATGGTGATGATCTTAGTTCATATTTTAGACGTAACAATTTGATGCCTATTGCTCGTAATGGGATAAAATGGAAATAATTTAGATGTCCACCAGTAGAGGGAGGAGAAAGAAGATGTGCTCCTGTCAAATGATGGAGTGTGATTCAGCAGTTTAATGAACGACATGCATCAGCTGTGCAGGTCTCCGCTAAGTTGTAGTGAAATAAGTACAGAAAAAAAAAATACAACTTTCCCCCTGAGAGTTATTGAGAGGTAATTGACATTTTTTTTTAATTTTTATTTAAAAAAAAATTTTTTTTTTCAACGTTTTTTATTTATTTTGGGACAGAGAGAGACAGAGCATGAACGGGGGAGGGGCAGAGAGAGGGAGACACAGAATCGGAAACAGGCTCCAGGCTCCGAGCCATCAGCCCAGAGCCTGACGCGGGGCTCGAACTCACGGACCGCGAGATCGTGACCTGGCTGAAGTCGGACGCTTAACCGACTGCGCCACCCAGGCGCCCCTGTAATTGACATATTATGCTGCGTAAGTTTAAGGTGTACAAGTGTTGATCTGAAACATTTATATATTGCAAAATAATGGCTACCATAGCCCAGAGCGTGGTGGCTCGAGACAGCAGGGGCATGAGAGCACTTTGGGGATGAAGGATATGTCTGTTATCCTGACTGTGGGGATGACTTCCCTGGTGTACCCGCATGTCAGGACTTACTTCACATTTTACGTATCCGCAGTTTGCTGTATGACAATTAAACCTCCGTAAAGCTTTAATAAACTCTGGTGGCCGGCCATCGACCTGAAAAGTTAAGCCAGAAGTAATTTTTCTTCCTTCCTAGTGCATAAAGTGGTAGTGCACTCTGAAATTAGCGGCATCTTAGATTTCGTAAACTACAGCAATAACCTTAGCCTTTGATCTGAGATTCCGGCGGTGGAGCTTTATGCTACTTTCAGCTAAAAAAACCGAAACTGACGAAAGAGGAAATACCAGTGGGGGATAATGTTAGGAGGACTGTGAATTTGCCTGAGGCCACGTGAAGATGTCAGGATGTTCGGATTCCTCGTGGTCCCCAGTAGCTTCCTTACGGGTCACTGCGTGCCCTCAGGTTTTCTAGAACTGATCCAGTCCTCGAGCAAGCCGCCCTCTGCCTTTGCATAAAATCTACATTTCCCCACTTCCCCATCTCTTTGTGAAGTCCAGGGCATGTGACTAAGCTCTGGCCAGTGAGACAGAGGTAGAATTGCTGTGTGCAGCCAATTACAGTCACCAGCCAAAGAAAGGAGTCCCTAAATTGCCCCCCCCCACACAAATGTGACTGTTTTTTTTTTTCTTTGCCTTATAATCCACTGACACAGAAACTATGTCTTCAAAATGAAAACATTCCAGATGCAATTTCATCATATTTTATGAGTGAAGTGAAAATCTTGCCTCTTCAGATGCCACTGCTGTTGCCTGCTAATCCCCCCTGTTCCGATGCAGACTTCTGTGTCTTTGGACAAGTTGCTCAGGCTTTCTGTTTCAGGTCCCTCAGCTGTGAAAAGTGGATGATATGACAGGGCGTGGGGGTGCTGCGAGGATTAATTAGCATCGGCAAAGCACTTTCAACATAAGACGCTGCCCTCTTCACACACATCCTATCCAGGGACTTCAACAGACTGTGGCAGTGAGGCTGGTGCCGTTTATCTCTGTTTTCCAGATCAGGTTATGAGGCCGGAGAAATTAATGGCTTGCCCAAAGTCACTCAGTGAACTAGGGGAACAGCCCTGAAGAGACCTCTGGAATATTGACCTTCTAATCTTCTTGTACAAACCACTGCATGATACATGCTACATTTTGAAAAGGAGCTCTAGAAATGCCAAGGGCCTTCATCATGTACTTAACTTCTCTCGGTCTTTTTCTCATGTGTTGGCCTAGATCTTCCTGGGTTGGCTCTGCATTGACCTACAGAGAGGAACACTCTTCTCATCAGGAAAGAAACTCAAATATCTGGAAGAGCTTAATGATCACAAGACTTTTTTTTTTTTTTTTTTTTTTTTTGTGGTCCAGTCAAGTTCACTAGAGGCTTACGTTTGCTTTTGCGGCCTTGGTTATAAAACTCAAGATATGAGGTCCACCCGTGCAGAAAGAGTCATCCTACTTTTAAAAATTGCATTTCGATTTTTTTTAAGTTTATGTATTTCTTTTGACAGAGAGCGAGAGAGAACGCGCGGGGGAGGGACAGAAAGAGAAGGCTAGAGAGAGAATCCCAAGCAGGCTCTGCACCATCAGCACAGAGCTGACACGGGTCGTGAACTCACCGACCGTGAGATCGTGACCTGAGCCAAAATCAAGAGTCAGACACTTAACCAGCTGAGCTACCCAGGTGCCCCTGGGATTTATTTTTATTTATTTTAAAGCACACAGGAGAAAGTTAATCTAATACTCCCAACAACAAATAATAACCACCGCTACTATTTTACTGTAGATATATTCAACCTTGTTTAAAAAAAGAAACAACTAAGTTTTTAAAAAACCAGACCCTACCTCATAGATCGTTTATAACATACTGAGAAACCCTCTTATCCTCTGTGGCTCATCGCCCAATACTCTCTTCTCATTCTCCAAATTCCAGTTCCCCTAACCACCTTCTGTTCTAAATGTGCCTTCTCCCCACCACCCTCTCTACCCTCCCTCAGCGGCGAGTGCCTTCTCCTTCCCTATTCCAGCTCCCTGACTTCTCCATCCCCCGTCTTCCAAAGGGGTCACGTCCTGTTTCTTTATCCTTCCCCAAACAGCACCATGTAACTTTCTTCTGTGCATAATTTCACTCAAAATAATTTGAGTATTTAAAAAAACTTTTTTTCATGTTTATTTTTGAGAGAGACAGAGTGTGACGGGAGAGAGGCAGAGAGAGAGGGAGACCCAGAATCCGAATCAGGCTCCAGGCTCCGAGCTGTCCGCACAGAGCCCGACGTGGGGCTCGAACTCATGAACCTTGAGATCATGACCTGAGCCAAAGTCGGATGCACAACCACCTGAGCTACCCAGGCGCCCCGAGTATTTTCTTAAAGGCTTGTATTCCTGGTGCATTGTCACTTCTACAAGCTCAGTCTGGTTTTTTCTGTCTGCTTCATTGGCTCCTCCGTGCCTCGCCAGCCTGGCTCAGGTAATATTTGTTGGATGAACGAATAAGAGGAGGATGTCTTTTATATCCATTTTAATGGTTTTGATATGGGTTTGTAACCCATTGCTAAATGTGACTCTTCCTTTTGACTCAATTTCAGCAGAAGCCTCAAAAGCCCAGTGGGGGAAACTTATAGAAAACATTCTAAAGCAAGGTGCTGGACTATCTGTGCAGAAGTTGCAAAAAGAGAGTTCAAAACCATTTTGTCTGCAAGAGTTGATCACGTACCACCAGCCTAAATAAGACGCTGTGGTTCAAGAGTTTGAAGAGGCTGGTTCTTTGGCAGAGAGCTGCTTTTCTCCTGCCTATGAGACAAGGAAGGGAGGGCTTTCCCCTTACTTTATAGCAAGGGAGCGATTTTCAAGAGAATCACTTAGAAGGCCAGAAGTGAGTCGTCTCAAGTACCGGGGACACAAGGACTGGTGTTAGAACCATTCCTTAATATTCAAAAGGTGAAGGCCTGGAGTCAACTAGTTGCCTTGACTCACGACAGAGCTAAAAGCAGTGGGTGCCCCGGGAGTGGGCTCATCATTCACTGGCAGGGCCAACACCGAGTGAGTTTTTCCTCTGGCCAGGGAGGGCTTGTCTTAGAATAGATCCACCAACAGAACCACCTGGAAGGGCAAAAACCCTGGAGCATGAGACCCGGGGGTGGAGTAAAGAGCAGCCAGACTGAGAAGAAAGAGCTCTTAGCATCTCTAAGGAACTCAAAAAAGCTCTGTGAGAGAAAGAGCAAATATTATATACCTGTTGCCCAGAGGTCATCTACTCCGAGGCAAAACTTGGAGCAAGGAGAACTTGCCCGTGGGGAGCCTGAGTCGGGGAGGCTCAGTCGGTGAAGCCTTTGACTCTTGATTTTGACTCAGGTCATGGTCTCTGGGTTCATGAGTTCCAGCCCCCAGTGGGGTACAGACAGTGCGGAGCCTGCTTGGGATTGGGATTCTTTCTCTCCCTCTCTCTCTCTCTCTCTCTCTCTCTCTCTGCCCACACAGAAGCTCCTACTTCCCAACTGGGGTAAGGGACAAAACCTAATCTGAATGATATTCAGTGTGATATGGCTATTAGGCTGAAATGGACTCTTTATTACCTAGTAGTAGCCCAAAAAGCCAGAGACCTTCTGGAGATTTCATTCGGGTTGAGAAAAATAACTTTTCAATAAGCAAAGTTTAGTGGGGAATGATTGTACTCAATTGATTACAGTTCTTTCAGAAATTTGGTGATACGTATATACGCGCTTCCATGTAAAATATATATTTAGATGCATACATTTTATATTAACACATGTCTCTATAAAGTTAAGATAAATATACATATTGTCATAAATACCACTGCTGTGAGTATTCCTGTAACTAAATCTTTGTGCCTTTGCATGCATTTCCAGAACTGGATAAGCAATTACAAAAGTTTAAAAATTTTGGATAGATATCACGCTCCAAAACAGTTGTATCAATTGATATAAATTCACATTCTCGGGGCGACTGGGTGGCTCAGTCGGTTAAGCCTCTGACTTAGCTCAGGTCGTGATCTCACGGCTTGTGGGTCCCAGCCCTGCATTGGGCTCTGTGCTGACAGCTCCGAGCCTGGAGCCTGCTTCGGATTCTGTGTCTCCCTCTCTCTCTCTCTGCCCCTCCCCTGCTTATGCTCTGTGTCTGTCTCTCTCTCTCTCTCTCAAAAATAAATAAACGTTAAAAAATTTAAAAACATTTACATTCTCAGCGGAAGCTTCATTTCTCTTTCCTTAAAGATTTTTGGGTGCCAGGTCTTTAGAAGTAGATTTTTTCGATGGTCTCACCATTTCCGGTTCAGTCCCTCCTAATCTATTTTTTGTTCATCAGACAGAATAATATTTTAAACCTATAACTTTCCTGTATTCGGCTTTCTCCAGTGCCCTTGGCTCTAGCTGGGACGCGCTTCCCTGATGATTCCCATAGCTTCTGCCCATCGTTCCTGTCTTAGCTTGGATGTCACCTCCTCTGAGAAGTCTTCCTTGACTCTTTCTTACCGAAAGTAAGGCTGCTCATTACTCCCCACGTAGCACAACACTCATGTTCTTTTTGCTATCAACTATAGCTATTTATAAGCTGTTTATCTGCTTATTTTTTTCCCTCTCTCCTACTGGGGTATAAGTTCCATGGGGATAGGGATTTTGTTTGTCTTTGTGGTGTGTGTGTGTGTGTGTGTGTGTGTGTGTGTGTGTGTGGCAATCTCTGCTCATAGCAGGTGCTCAGTCATTATTTGTTGGATGCAGGAAGGAAGCAATGAGTAACAGAAGCAGCTCTGTTCCCAGGTTTCCTTCTACCTGATTTCTGTGTCATCTTCCAAGTCGTCTTTCTTTAGGTGGGGAAGGACTGGTGGAGGGGGACCTGGCAGGACAGCAAACAACCTCTCTCCTTAGTGATAGCCAACTCATTTTTATTAGCACTGGCTTACCTGTGCTGCCCGTTTCTGTGACTCTCCCACTGAGAGCAGCAGGCAATGGGGCCAAAGCTCAAGCTATTTTTGGTAAAGATATTGGACAAGTGCCATTTCAGCCTCTGCCTTGGTCCTTTGTGGTAGCTGGTGTAAGTACAACCTTTTTGGGTGAGGCGTGGGAACCTACCTACCTACCCTGGAAAAGTGCAGAAGCTTCTGAATTTCTGCACATAGTTTTCTGTCCCAAAGAGCTTTGTAATAATAATAATAATAATAATAATAATAATAGCAATAATAATAATAATCATTGGTTGAATGGAATACAGAGGGAATGGTATGAGTTGTTCATGTTTCAAGCTACATTGGGCTTCTACTCTGAGTATATTGGAGTAGGGAAATTTGGGATTAATTTCTGGCTCTGCAGTGCGATAGTTACAGTCTTCTATTTCAATTCGTGACACAGTTTTGTTTCATATCAACAAGATGCCCAAATAGGAGAGAAGTACTACCATGTGGAATTCATTTTGCTCTCGCATTCATTTCATTTTAATACAATGAACTCTTACTCTCCCACCTTAGACCCACACCGGGAGAAGGGGATAAAGTATACTCAAGATGAATATGATGATCACTGTTGGCAGAAGGGAGTGTGGATGCTGAGGAAACAGAAATAGATGCTACAAATAAGAAGCGTGAAGTGTTGGAAATTGAGTTAAAAATAGGGATTGCAATAATGATTTTTTTTTATATCAGCCTTATCCCCAATGAAACTGAATTGTGTGGGACTGTATGTCCATTTGGCAGTGTATAGTGGTGTGAGTTGTGCACTGTGCAACTCTGTAAGCACTACTTACATCGCGTATCTCTGAATGCCTCCTTTCCTCTTCTGCCGTGGTTGTGTATTACACATTTTGGACAAATGCAAGTGGCTGTTCATCCTGTGAATAGTACAGTCTGTGTATTTTCCATGTTTCACAGTTTGACTTAACCAAAACCAAATGAATAAAACTGTATTCTGGGTTCATTCCTGCAATTAAAAAAAAAATCACTTGTCTCTTCACAGCTAGTTTGATATTTTCCTTTTTTTTTTTTTAATTTTTGGGGGAGGGCAGAGAGAGAGGGAAAGAGAATTTTAAGATGAGAGCAGAGAATTATAAGCTGAGCACATAATCTCACAATTGTGAGATTATGACCTGAGCCGAAATCAAGAGTCAGACACTTAACCGACTGAGCCCCCCAGGCGTCCCTAGTTTGATATTTTCTAGTTTGATTCTAGTTTCCTCACATCTAGCTTAATTATTTATGGATGTCAATTATACTCAACATTAATTATCATGGGATGGATTTCTCAGTTTCAGGTTTTGTCAGTAATTATTTCTTTTATCTTGAGCCATTCACTTCTAGGTCCTTATGCCTCAATTCCTTCATTCTTTGTTTCTATGATACTGTTGATTTGGTGTACAAATGATGCGTTGGACAAATGCCTTCCACGAATACATTTATTTCATGGCAACCATGGACACTATTTTTTTTTTTAAGTTCTAAGAGTTCTTCAAAAAGAACTCTCCAAATGATTTTTATCATTTCATCCTTCTTTGGCAGAGATGCAAACTTAAAACATCATTTGTATCAAAGAGCAACATGATAACAGAATTAATGATTTACCATATAGCACAAAGAGTTCCCCTCCCGGAATACTTACTTTTCGCCTGTCCCAACTCGGTCTCAGCCCTCCTATGACACATTCTTGGGTGATTCTCTTCTTTACCTGACACTCACCAAACCAAAATGACTAAAAGCTCGTGTTCCTGTGAGAAAGGAAAGATTCATATAATCTTAGAGTTGAAAGGTCTTCAAATCTTATCAAGTCAAATAGTCCACTCAATAAATGAACCCTCTTCCCCGCAGCTCCGATCAGAGATCATCCAGCCTTGGTTTGGTCACCTCCAGGGAGCAACTGTCCATTTCTGATGCTGTCTTTTTACCTTTGTGGAGAGGGCAAATGATTAGAAAGATCTTCCTTGGAAAGGAGGGAAGCTCCCTCCCGCATGACATCTGCACTCCAGAAGGGCTATAGCACAGTGTTGACCTAAAGCAGGTGTCACACACCCCTCCCTTCAGTCCTTGTCCTGTGGGACCTGGGGCAAGTCTTCATCTGCCAGGGCTTTAGTTTCCATAAAATGTGCAGGATAATACGTATCTCGTTATTCCTTTAACAGGATTAGGACAATGCCTAGCGGGCTGGTGCCCAATAAATGTCAGTGGGTATGAACTCATCTCAAGCATGCTTCAGGAGGGTGGTGCAGTCAGGGGCAGTGAGTGTAGAATCTTATTCTAGAGGCAGTATCCCTTAAGGGTTATGAGGGTGAGCTCTATTGCTAGACTACTGGGGCGTAAATATGGGCCTGGCATTTACATAAGGAGGGGACCTACCTCATGAGGAACAGGGGAGTCGAAGCGAGGCAATCCGTGCTTGGGGTTTAGAGCCACGCCTGGCACTAAGAATTTATCATGCACCTGCTCTGGGCTAGGCTTTGGGGGTACACGTATGAATGAGGCCAGGTGTCAGCCCCTGGGTAACTTACATTCAGGCGGGAAAGCCAGGCTCACCCAAGGAAAATGTGGCAAATGATATCACCGAGGGCTGGGTCCAGGGAGCCAAGGAAACCCGAGGAAGCTCAAACGTAGCTTAAGCCAGGGCAATATCCCTCCCCTCCTTTGCCAAGGTCAAGGCAAACCATGGCAACACCGCCTCCCCAGACACCCGCACCAGGAGGTAGAAATCAGCCCTGCTCGGGAAGGGGATGGGGCTGAAGGGAGGGGCGGGGTCGGCGGCGGCCGTGAAAAAGTGAAATTTCCTCTCCTCCGAAAATCGGCCACCGGAGCGGGAAGAGGGGGCGCGTTGTCTCGGCGGGCCGTCAGCGAGGTGCGGGGGCCGGCTGGGGCGCGCCCGGGGTCCCGGAGGAGGGGAGGGATCGGAAAGGGGGGCGGGGCGGGCCAGGTGGGCGGGAGAGGAGGGGAGAGGGTGCGAGCGCGTCCCAGTGTGTCCGCCTGCGGGTGGCCGCGGCCCGGCGCCCGGACCCGCGCGGCTCCGCCTCTTGGGGGTGGGGGTGGGGGGAACCACCCGTCCGCCGTCCTCCTCCTCGTCCCCCTCCTCCTCCCGCCGCTCCTCCCCTCCTTGTCCCCCTCCTCCTCCCGCCGCTCCTCCCCCGGGGGGGGCCCACCTCTCCGCCGTCCTCCTCCTCGTCCCCCTCCTCCTCCCGCCCCTCCTCCTCTCTCCCCTCCTCCCCCCACCCCCTCCCCCGGGGCCCGCGAAGAGGCAGGGCTGGAGCCCTGAGCAGCCGCCGCTCCTCCTCCTCCAGGCTGGCGGATGAGTCAGCTGACGCCGGCGCTCCAGCCTCGCCTCGCGGCGCTGCGCTCCCCGCGCTCCCCCGAAGTGGCTGCGAGCCGGCCGCCCACTTTCGGGGCTTGGGGGACCGAGTGATGCGCGCCTGCTGAGGCCACGCCGAGCCGCGGCCGCCGCAGCTTCGCCGGGTCAACTTTCCCCCCGCCCCCCCCCCCCCCCCCCCCCCCCCGCCCCGGCCCCGCTCCCCCCCCCCCCCCCCCCCCCCACGCCGCCTCCCGACCCGGCCCTTGACCCGCCCCAGAGCCACCTCGGGTGCGCGCGCTTGGGTGAGGGGGCTCGCCGGCTGCCCGGGATGGCTTCCAATTTTAATGACATAGTGAAGCAAGGGTACGTGAGGATCCGGAGCAGACGCCTGGGGGTAAGTGTCGACCCTTTTTTTTTTTCCCCCTTCTTCCCTTTTCGCTGCTCGCGCGTTCAATTGTCTTCCTGGGTCGCCAGCATCCCTGGAGGCTGGAAGGAGGTCCCCAGCCGCGCCGGCGAACTGCCCCCGTGGCTGTCTCAGCCCAGATGCACCTCGCCGGCGGCTGCCCCTGGGAGGCCGGGTCTAGGCGTGTCACGGAGCTATCTTTATCTCTTGGGCGTCTCGGCTTTCCGACGGTGGCCGCGTGTGCGGCTTCAGTGGCCACTGGAGCCCGTCTCCTGGAAATAAATATTTCTCGGTAGCCAAGGGAGTTAGAGCGGAGAGGCCGGCCGGGGGTGCTGAGCCCGCCCGAGGCCCCCGGTGCCCCCCCCCCCCTTGCCACTCGCCGCCAACTTAACTTTTCCGGGGGATGGGCGGCTGGCTCAGAAAAGAGGGCAGGCGCTCTCGGTGCCAACAGGGTCCGAGCCCCTCCGACCCCCGCCCCGCAGAGATTGCGGCCGAACGGAAGGTCTCCTCGGGCTCCGAATCCCGGACGAAGACCCGCCTCTGACCCAGGTGTTGGCACAGGCGGCGTGGCCTGGCCGGCCTGGGGTGGATTTCCTCTGGTCCTCAGCCCGGGTGGTGGATTTCTGTTGCTGGAAAACACAGCGGGAGCCCAACGGGAAGATTCTTTAGGGTGGAACCCGATACCTGCCCAGAGGAAGTGCTCCCTAAACACGTAGCACAGGAATGAATGAACCCGAGGGCACCTGTAGGGGACAGATGCTGGCATAGGGATGGCTCCCCCCTTAAAACTCTCTCTCTTTTGCCCCCTTTCCCTTGCTCGCCGTGGATAGGGCTTCAGAGACAACTCCTTCTGCTTCTCTTTGAGACTGAGTGTTGATGAAGGAAATTCTCCAGAGACGGGGGAGCACACTGGAATGATTTTTTTAACCCCTGATTTCAGGCTGCCTCCTTTCGCTTTGCCTTGTGTCCAGTACTGTCGCTGTTTTTGTTTGTTGTGTGTGTTTGGGTGGCCGGGTTCGGGTGGGGGAGGGGCAGAAAGTTTACTTTAGTCATGTCTGAAATGATAATATCAGCAATGATGTGCAATGACCACACTGGGAGTTACAGTGAGAAACTGAATGTCTTCCTCTACAAATCTGTGTCATTGGCACCTTTCTCTTACTTGGTCTTTGTAGTTTTTTATGTGCCAGATAATTTTACTGAAAACTGAAAAGGAATTTCGCAGTGGTAATCAGCTAGGGAGGATGGTAGGAAACATCTGTAATTATTAAAAACTCTTGCCTGCTTGGTTTTGACCCTCTGCTTTCTTGCTTTCTTTTTTTTTTTCCCCCTGCCGGTTACCATGTTTTAGCAATTATGTCCCGTGTTATTGTGAGTATATACATCTATAATTACGAAGAAATGTAACCGAGCTAACCGGTCTCTGTCAGCCCTATGCAAGTTTCCTTGATCTTTTCTGCTATGCAAATATCATCAACAGCAGGAGCAACTATTGTTAGGGTGCTTAACCTAGTGACTCCCCCGGCAAAAGGCAAGAAATAGTAGGAGCTTTATATTTCTGATAACCTTATGGGCCAGCCGAGTTGTTGCCATTCTTAAGGGAGCATTAAGAAATGCAGTCCTAATTTTAGATTTACTCCATCATGTCAGTTGAGGAAATTGATAAGAGACATCCATTCTGTGTTAGGGAGCATTCCAAATGGTAGAAGACATGCATTATTAATGCGCAAAATGTGAATTATTCATAAGGATCAGAGTTTATGCCAAATTGTGACACGTGGTGATTTATTTGAAAGACTAGTTACCATAACTTTCTAGTTTATGGTAATTGAGATTATTTTCTATATTATTACAGCTGACATAATATGGTCCTATATGTGTGCCAATGTTTACAGACAGATATTTGGAGCAGAAGGAAAGGAAATAAAGTCGAGTTTGTATTCATTTTATATTTTGCAGTACATTGGGTGCCAGTGAGAAGTCTACTTTTCTAGGATTTATTCATTCTGTCTGTGTTAACACTCGAGTAGATTTTAGAATATCTATGCAATGATGGTTATTGCTCATGGAAAGGTCAAAGATACAATCAACAAAACCCGGTCTTCTTTATTAACACCGGTTTTATCACCAGTTAATTTTTTTAAGTGATTTGATGATGTAATTTATTTATATGAACTAAAGAGGCTGATTCCACAGTTGCCAGAAAACACCGCGAACTCAACTTTTCATGGAGCCTGCACGCAATGGGGGGGAGCGCTTCCGGGAAATGCATAGAGACCCTCTGTCTAGAGTGAGAAGTGTTCGCGGTATTAGTCCAGGCTGCATATAGCCTAGAATGGCCCGTAGCACGTGTAAGTCTCAGCCAGCACTTGGGCATTAGGTCTGGTACAGAGTAGGCACTTATACGTGCATGTTGGACTAGAGGGTGATGCGTGACTTTGCAATTCAAAAGCTTCTTGAGGAACTAATATGACATAGTAGTTTCATTAATGGAATCCAGACAAATGTGTGTGGATTAGAACCATGTTTGGGAGGGTTTATAATTAAACAAGAAAACACCATTTCATGGTGAGCAGCTGTTCTGCTAAGGAATGCTCCCTCAGATTGGGAAAAGGAGGAAAGAGAGCCAATTTTGCTTCTATTACTCGTTAGCTCCATGGCCTTGACCTCTTTTACCCTCAGTTTTCTAATCTATGCAATGAACACGATTTCGTAATGTTGGGAACATTGACTAAGATGATATGTATGAAAATCTAATGAGAGTATAGCATTGATTCTGATTAAAATATTTGTTTGGTACGAGCAAAGGTGAGTTAGGGTTGGAGGAAGGGTGGGGGGGTTGTAGATATCTTTCTGTCTAAAAGTGTCCCATAAATGGCATAAATGGTTTTTCAGTTCTAGATGGTTTCATTGGGTGAAGTTTTTACAAATTCCATAGATTTAAGTGATTTTACAATGGGACAGGAGACATTTTAAGACCGTCTCCATTCAAATGGACCAAAGATAAGCGCTCACTTTTAGTTGAGATCTTCTGTAGTTGAAGTGATTAAGCAATCGTTGTACGTATAGACTTACTTTTTTCTGTAAACATCAAAAAGGTTAATGAAATTCAGCTCATTTAACTCGAAAGTCTCAGTATCTTCATATCTCATACCTTCATCTACATTGTTCATGGAGATCTCAAGCTGTGCTCGGGATACTGTGTTTGTTGAGGAATGTCTGTGCCACAATTTGGGGGGCTTTGGCGGTGCAGGGATTGGGGGGAGGAAACAGTTGTCTGCACTTATCTGGCTAATCCACAAAAGGCACTAAAAATTTTATTCTTAGCAGGGTGGCGAATCGGGCGATTTGCACATCATTAACCTGACTAAGTGTGTGGCTTAGACGGTATCCTATGACTCTCTTCACTTGGTTTCTTCTTTTGCAACCGAGAGAATTTCTAGTCAGTAATTGCCATGTAAGCCTCAGAGTTTAAATTCAGACCTGTTCACGTCATCTACATGCAGTCTCTCGATCACTCGCCTTTAAATACATTCTGGATGTTCTTGTACACCAGGAGCTTCTTCTCCTGTCTGGCCTGCATCCCTACCTAGACGTCTAAGAGTCTTCAAACTTAATACATCCAAACCCTTGATTGTTTCATCCAGACTTCTCCCGGAGTCTGCAACTCAGCCACTAGAGGTCCCAAAATTTTAGTTGCCCTGGTAAAAATGAATCCAGTAGGCAAGCAAATGGCAAACAAGCAAACTTAGGGCACATTTCTGTCTCCTTTTATCTCCTTCTGACAACCAGTCCATCAGGAGATCCTGTGGGCTCTGTCTTTGAAATATATCTACATTCTGTGTCACATATTATCCATCCCTTCCACCCTGGTCCAAGTCCCCATCATCGCCTCCCTGTAATATTATAATAATCTCCTAATTTGTCTCCCTGCCTGCTCAGACCACCAGTCCCTTTCCCTGCAATTCATGGGAAGAGACTTACCTTGGGCTTGAAGTTCCTATGCTGACTGAGAACCCTTTCTCCTGCTGTTCCCTCTGCTTGGAATGCTGTTCCCCCAAGTATGGCTTCCCCCTTCCTGGATGGCTTCCTTATCTCCTTCAGTCTTTCTTCAAATGCCACTAGCTCACTGAGGCCTTCCAGATCCTTAATTTTGTTTGTTGCCTCCTCCTGCCCACCCAAATCCTTCCATTGCTTCTCTCTAGGCTTATCATCCCCTCACGTACTGGCGTGTTGGTTTTATGTGTTGATTGCCTGTATCCCCCCCATAGCACAGGAGGCTCCATGAGGGCTGTGACTTCTCTATCTTTTAATTCGAGCTGAATCCCAGTGCTGGAATGGTGTGTAGCACTTTATCAGCAGTCTTCTTGATGAAGATTTATTGAGCAAATGAATGAATGAATCCATTAGTGCAAACT